TGGGGTCGGTGTAAGCTTTTACCGACGGTTTGGACACCAGGCTAAGGTTTGGAAGCGCACAGGCGTCTTCCAAGAGAAAGCAGGTAGTTGAACACCAGGCTAAGATTTGGAAGCGCACAAGCATCTTCCGAAAGAAAGCGGGTACAACCCGTACGGAAAATTGAAATTTTTGTCCAGTAAAGGGGAGAAAACTAACGCCGTACCTGTCTGAAATATGTAACAGCCCCCAAAGGCCTCTCTGCCCGGGTGCTGCGTGGTGTGATAAGTGACTGGGTGTGAGTCTTTGTTCTCAACTCCAGCAAGTTTCAGCGTGGTTTTGATTTTAGGAAAACTGAGATCTTTTTAATTGCAGCTGAAAATGGTTTGACTTCAGGCTGTCCTGGGACTGACATCCCCCTATTTAAAAAGGAAAAAAAGGGGGATATGTGCTTGGGGCGGGGGGCGGAGGGCGGAGGGGGCAGTTCAACAGTACGGTGTTAGATTGTGCTAAGGGACATGCTTGGAAACACGATGAAATAGTGTCCTCCTCTTCTCTTTCTAGATACCTGCTCTTTCAGCTGTCAGAAGACATCACTGAAGATGAGCTGAAGTCTTTCAAGTTTCTTTTGGGGAAAGACTTACCAAAATGCAGGCTAAACCCTAAGACTGTAAGAATTTCTTTAATTTTCATTGTTTGTTTTTTTTTTTTAACGATTATTAAAAAGCAAAGAGGCATTTGGGTTGCTATGAGGGGAATGAGTGTCACTCTTTTTATGGTGAAAACACTGTAAGAAAAAGGGTGCACCTGGAAAGGGATTATAGGCTCTCCAGTGCATATGGGACTTGTATGGGCTAGTGTTATGTGTAGCTTTTGCAGCAGCATCACAGCCCAGAGACCATGAGCCAGCCCTGTGCCAGGCACAGGAGGCCTTCGTGTCCAAGCACCATACGGGGCTTAGGGGACTCAGTAGCTTTGATCAATGGAAGACTGATGAGCACATTCATCTTGCCCAACTGATTTTCTTTTGGCTGCTTTCTAAGCCATTATCAAACATAGAAAATCACTCACTGTAGCTATTACTTTATGCTTTTGTAATTTTTATTTCCAAACTCAGAAAATATGGATCCTTACAAAGGCTAAGGCCCAAGAGCTTGGCGTTTACAAATAGCCTTGCGGGCTATCTCAGCCTGCAGTTCTGACTGGTGGGTACTTTGTTCTGTCTAATGAAAACTCTTGTAGCATTTTCCCTCTTTTCTTAGAGGAGAGACTGTGACCATCTAGTGATAGCTGTTCTAGTAAATCCTTGGGGTGACCACTGTGCTCTGCCACTCACTGTTTGGCAAGAGCTCCTGTCCCTTGGATGCCCTTTTGTTTCAGAGCAATCTCTACACCATACTTGCATGGTTATACCCATTTTCGCCATTGCTCAAGATGGTCACTACAGTGATTCTTGTGTTTCAGTTAAGTGCACAGGATAGCCACTGGAAGTCAAATGAATGAAAGCATTAAAAATGACATTACATATTTCTGTATGATCACCATTAGATCTCCTGGATTAGATCTTACGAGATCTTGGCACCTCTGAGCTGCGGAAGGAAAATGAGTATGTTTTGAGAAGGTGTTTGTACTTACAGTACTTGTAGGTTTTGTTGAACTAGGTTTAATCGACTCAGCTGAGGTCTCAACTGAGCTACCAGTCAGCTGGTCTGACTCTGTGGGTCGCATGTGCTGTCAGTACATTAAAGCTTAGGTGCACATGCACATGCTGCGACTTCCCTTCCAGTGGCAGCATGGATGTGCCCTAAGAGCAAACTACCTTTCTGATTACCCAGACAATGCTCGACGTTTTCATTGAGATGGAGAAGAAGGGGATTTTGGGAGAAGACAACCTAAGTATCCTGAAGAGTCTCTGTGCAGAAATTAACATCATCCTGTTGAAGAGAATTGAAGAGTATGAATTAAACCCATTTGGTAAAACAAAACAAAACAAAAAGGCCTCTTTCCCATAGTTATTCTTGAAGTGACACATAGGTATCATACAGGACTAATAATGAATGCTTTTTCAGGTGAAGAAGAGATGATCACAGAGGAACAGAGCGTCAGCACAGGAGGCCCTGAAGGTAATTGAAACTTCAAAAAATTAATGTTTAGTTTTTCGCTCTTCTTCAGCTTTTGGACTCTCTACACCACTTGCATCTCGCTTCTTTACACAGGTGCCTCTCTAAAAAGTGGTCAAGAATCCAGTTACTTACTAACTGATCACAATACATTTTACTCTGTTTTAATTGATTATCTAGTGGTTTATAGCTAACAGGAACAGCCGTTCAACCACAATTCAGTGTTTTCAGAGACCAGTTTTACCCTGGGAGGTACTTGTGGAGATGGAGAATAGGAACAGAACTTCTCTCCTTTCTCTAGTGCTACATTCTGTACTTAAACTTTTTTGTCTGTATTCAGCCCATGCCAGATGGCTGGAGTCATCTGTAGCACCTGATTCTCCTGGCAGTTGGAACGAATCTTCCAAGGTAAGTGAGTTTGTTTCTTAGAAACGTCATCATTTTGTCTTAGCAGAGATCATCACTCCCATGAGGTGAACAGTTATTATAAGCCCAACTGTTAAAAGCACTGTCTAGAAAAAGAAGAATGCACCACTCTAACATCCTTTATTCTGAAGCTATGTCCCAGGCAGGAGCTGCTGCAGTGTTAAAACTTCAGAAACATTTGCAAAGGTAGCAAGATAGGCCGAGTTTATTATACCAGGAAATACGCAGTTGGCAGATGGCTGCGCATGGAGAAGTGGGTAAATGCAGCACCCCATGTGGGCTGAGTGTGATGATGTGGGTCTGGGGGGGTGCTGTCATGCTGTGCACAGACTCCCAAAGGCGGTGGGGCAGCGCATTGCCAGTCCTGGGGGCGAAACTGTATAGGGAGAGCTGCCTAGAGAGAAAGCCAGCTGGCCCTTTGCCCTGCTGTGCCACTAGCAAGGGCTGAGAAGCACCTGGAGGAGAGTGCAGTGGTTTCATCAATAGTCTTTCTTTTCAACAGCTTGAAGCTTACAAAATGACTAGCCGACCCCGTGGAGTGTGCCTGATCCTGAATAATCACAATTTTGCAAAAGCCAGGGAAGCAGTGCCGGTACCCAAAAACATGAAGGATCGGAATGGGACAGATGTGGATGCAGGTACAGTGAACATTAAAGATGAGTTTGTGTATCTTCAAAAATAGAAACCTCAGTTCTTTTTCAGTACTAAAGGTCTGAATTTAAGTCTTCCCTTTCTAGGATACTTTTGTTGTAGTTGCTGAGTCGGCTCTGTTCCTGTGCTGACAAACCCTGATCAACTCATCAAGCTCTTAGTGGCTGACTCAGAACAATTCACTAGCGTTTTGCTGTTATTACTGAGTTTACTGCAACCTCAAGCAGCAACCTCAGCCTGGACTTTTCAAGCTAGGCTAGCTTTATGTCAGCCTTATGCATACTACTTCTAAAATATACGGAATTAGAAACAGATTTGCTGCTGAATCAGAATTGGGTGTTAGTTATTTAAAATCCAACTTAAAAAAAAAAAAAAAGGATGTTGGAATTTAGGGGCTCAATTACTTTGCTATTTAAGGGCCCTGATTTCAGCAGGCTGTCCTGCAGCAGCAGCGGCATAGCTCACTGCAGGTGCTAGGATCTGTGAGATGGGTGTATTTGCACTATCTATGCCAAGAGATAAAATCCATCAGTGGGCCTTTCCTGATTGAATTGAACTCCAACTTAATTCAAGAGTCAGAGTGCAAGGTTTCTCCTCCTGTGACACAGGTACTACCCAAACGGATAGTACCCTGTCGTAGAATCATAGAATCATTAAGGT